CCTAATTTCGATTACTTCAAATGCAATGTCGGCAAATACGTTAGCTGGCAACTCTGATATGGCCTTGTTGCTAATTTCTAGGTATTTAAAATGCTTGGTTTTCCCGTCTAGTTCCTTGCTTACTTTGCTGAATATTGCTACCAAATCTATCGGGTCAGTTCCACCGCAAGTTATTGTATTATCATCGTATCCTACTTGTTTAGCACATGTGCAAGGTGCTAAAATCTCAGGCTTTGGGCAGTCATAAGCCAAACTAAACCCAATATTAAACACCAGAATCAGGGTATAATAATCTGTTTAAAATAATATCAAATTCAAGTTTATAAAACAATTTAATTTAAAAGTTAACTTACTCATAATATTTTATATTTGTCTACCACCTCACAGTCTAAACATTAGACATACCACTAAAATAAATTGTTATTGGTTATTAATTTTTATATAAAATATTTTATCTTAATAAGCACTTTCGGTCATATTGATTAATCTGATCAGGACCACTTGAGATTATTTCTACGTAATATGTACAAACAGGGTGCATTTATATTTCTCAACTTTATTATTACCTATAAAGTTTTAAAAATATGTATAAAAGCTACAAGTACAATGAGTAACATTCATATCAAAATCAATTATTATATTTATTAGATAAGCGATTGCCCCCCTGAGTGTTTAAATAAAAATAATTGTATAATTTATAAATTCAATAACAAATTGTTCCTATTGCAAGTATTCCATTTGTGCCTATTATTATATTATTGTTATAAATATTGAATGAGCTTGTTTAATCATTAATTGAACATCTTTAATGATCGAGATTAATGTCAAGTACAGCTGACACTAGTTTCTTAAGTTTATAGATAAAACATTTAGTAATTACTATATAAACTGTCGACTTTAAATCAATCAAAATCTTTTATATCATATATTTTCAAAATGTGTAAGTATAATAGTGTTAACTAATAATATATTTTTATAAAAAAAATCTTTTTCAAAATTTACATTTTTTAAAAACTAACTATTAATTCTAATTTAATTAAATAAGATTTTAGTTTATACTGATAAATAACTAAAAAAATATTTAACCAAGTTGTAATAAATATATATTTATCTAGTACTTGGCTATAACATACTGATTCTATTGGCGGTAGTGACCACGGGCATTTTAGCTGGCGAATGCCCTAGTGACCCAAAAATATTAGCACCATGCGAGTGTAAACCATTCAATGAAACATTCAACTATATAAACTGCGCCGAGTACGTCGAGCTAGATGTATTAGGCGTGTTCAAAAATCTGAGCAAGGCCCTCGAGGGTAAAACTAAGCAATTTTACCAGATCAGATTTAGCAACAAGCTCATCGAGTATTTGCCGGCCAATGCATTTGCGGACATTGAGTTTCAAGAGGTTTACGTGTCGTTCGCCAGTCGTATGACCCGTTTTCACGCCAATGCACTGAACGGCACCCGAAATACAGTTACGAAACTCATTGTCGAAAGGTCTCCGATCGAGGATAATAACGGCACCGATGATAACGACTTGTTTAAAGCCGTGAGACAATTGACCAGGTTAGTTTATTTATTATATACAAAAATTTATATAATAATATTTAAGAAGACAGATAGCAATTCCTATAAGTCATAATGATCATGTTACTATTTTTAATTTTTAGAAATTTTAACATAAATTACAGTTTCTAGTTTATTGCTTACATTTTTTAACGAGCGAGATCGTTAAATGATTGTTAAATAATTTATTTAATTTAAATCTATTATAACAATCTGCATTTTATTATAAAAATAATTTTAACTGAATTACTAGCTTTAATTGAATTTATACTAATATATTAATGGGATTTCCTTAAAAACCAACTTGGCCTCCCAAAGCGAGAGAGCCGGTTATTTATTTAAATATTATTAAATATTAATTTTTTATTAATTTTATATAAAGTATTTAATGTAGTTTATAGTTAAATCAGTTAATAATTTACTAATTATAATTGTAATCACATAAAAACGTCTCTCTCTCCCAATTTTGTGGTCCTGACAGAGAGAGAGAGAGAGAGAGAGAGAGAGAGAGCTATTTATATATAATTGCAATTAAGACCAAATGAATTATACTAGTATGGTATGGTATAATAAGACTATCCAGGTCCGGTAATCTAGCGGAATGTCTTAGGTGACCAAATCAGTGATTATATTAGGGCCGCGCTATAAAAACTCTATACATTTTGCATTGAAATACATTCATTCATAGTATTGCAACTCTGACTCGTATAGTATGAATAACTGAATAGGATTTTATATGGAATATGTATAGAGTTTTTATAGCGCGTCCCTAATATAATCACCGATTTGGACACCTAAGACATTCCGCTAGATTACAAGACCTGGATACACCATACTATACTAGTATAATTCACTCGGTTTTAATTGCAATTAACGGAAACAATTGCCCTTTTTTCATTGTTAATTTACAAAAGTATCACTATATTAGCAAATTATATTTAAAAACTTTAAAAATAAATTTATAAAATTATTTAAATTAAGTATTATAATATACAATATTATTCTCCAAAAAATATCACATACATATTACAATTTAATAAAAATTTATTCTTACAGGCTAAAGCAATTTGAATTATCATGGTCCCACGTAACAGAAATACCTGCTGGTGCTTTCCAGTCACACCCGACCCTCGAAAGGCTAAAATTTTACGACAACCTCCAGATGATAAAAGTAGGCCAACAGGCGTTCAGTCAATTGAAAAACTTGTTTTACATATCGATCGAGACGTCCGATATAAACGCCATTTCCGGCGAGGCTTTCAGTCAAGAGTCGGATGAACGCGAGTTTATCGTCCGACTCGATGGCAACGATAAGGCGGTGTTCCCTCCCGAGGCCTTTCAGGCTATCAAACGGCCCGTGAACTTGCATTTGACCAAGGACGATTTGTCGCCATATGACTTTCATTATATACCTGAGTCCACGTATAAGCCGTTCCTCGACCAGCATCCGAAGCATAGGATATTTTCGACGTTAGGTTCGGGCGATTGCAGTGATAAACGCAATGATTGGTTGAGAAATAGAAATCCTAAACAATGGTTCGATGAAAATTGTAGTTATTAAACATTGTTGCAAAATAATAACTCACCAATTTTCTGACACCAAATAAACATTGGATATATATTTTACATTATATCTAGTTAACTAGAGAATTAATTTACAGTTTATTTAGTACGAGATGTGTAAAATAATAACATTAATTTAATAATGGTAAATACTAAAGCCAATTATTTTATTTTATGATTAAAATTATGTTCAAAAATGAAATTGAGTTAAATAAAATAAATAAAGAAAATCGGCATCACGGTAAAACCAATAAAATAGGGACATTCTTTTTCAAAATATATTTTATATGTTTTACAATTAGTTTACAGTTTAATTATAAGGATTGACTTATATGCCTCCCGTTCCTTCGGGATTTACTTTAAACCCCATCGTTTTTGGTTCCCACGGACCCCAACAAATTTTATATATTATTAGTAAATTATTAACTCATTGTACTTTAATAATATACACTTATTAAATAATTTACATTTTGAATTAACAATAAAAATTTTAATGCTTGGTCATTGCTTTAATTCAATGTTTTTTTTAAAAATTTCATATTAGATTATAAAATAAAATAAAATTAATTTACAGTTTTAATAATTAAAAGAATAAATTAATTTAATTTTTAAAATCATTAAACGTTTTATTGTACCGTATACTATTATTCATTCAAATGAGACAATTACTGTCTTTCCATTGAAGGGGATAACTAACTCTCAGCCAATCATTGCGTTTGTCGTGACAGTCCCCCCACGCTATGTTCGATATAATCCTATTCTTACGGTTTTGCTTCAGGAATACCTCATAAACCTCTTGCGATAAATATTTAAATCCGTCATTATTGACCATTATTTCACCAGGGCGATTTACATTTGCAAACAATCCTTTCCCAATATTAGCCTCACCAATATGGTTGTCATCAAGATCAATAGCTATCTTAATATCGTCATAGCTTGGTGAAACTTGAAATGCATCATCAGCAATCACGCTTATGTTATTTTTAAATAGCAGTATATTGGTTAGCCTGGGCATATTACTATACGCTAGGCTACCGATTGATTTCAGTCCCTTATTCTCGGTAATCATGACCGAGATCAAACTCTGGTGCGACTGGAATGCTTTATCAGGAACACTTGTTAGACTTGTATTAGTTATGTACAAGTCACGTAGATCAATTAATTCTACTGCTTTAAAAATGTCGTAGTCACCATGGTCATCATTTACGAGAGGGGTGTGTATTACCGATAATATGCTCAAGGTTTCATTAGATGCTTGAAACGCTTGCACGTGAATACGTGTAAGTTTGCTTGCTCTAAATATTTTAATTTCGTCGGTAAACTTAATGTCGGAAAATACATTGGCTGGTAATTCGGTGATGACCTTGTTGCTTATTTCGATTGATTTGAAATGTTTGTCGTTGCCATCCAATTCTTTGCTTAGTTTTTGAAATATGCTAGGTAAGTCGATGGGATTGGTCCCGGTACAAATAATTTCTCGTTCTCCTTGGCAAGTGCATGGTGATAATATTGCCGGATCGCTGGGGCATACATCGGCCAATGTAGACCCAAAAACGACCACCAGGATTGTTACAATATTATGAAGTCTATCTGAAACATTGCAAAAAATGAATATTAAATTTTTAATGATATTTTAATTACTTACTCATTTTATTTTTAATTATTAATGTGTTACAATTATGATTTGTCTTGTATTTATATACCTTTAAAATTTTTATTTCTAATAGTAATGTAGAAATAATTATCAAATTAAGTACAAATTTGGTGTAACATGTATCAAGGTTATTAAAGTATGCACTTTAGTTTATTATTATATTTTAGTATTATTTTTTGAAATGCACTTTAGTTCACTATAAATATGTTCAGATTAGTTATATTGAAAGTGCAATATGAAATTGATAAGATTGTTTGCACAATGTTGAGAATTTTTCACATGTTTCTAATTACCTTTTAATAACTATGATTGTACGTAAACTCTACAAGATTAAATTTTGGTGCATTGCACACAAAGGTTTAATTGGAAAACTATACATCTTAAAACCAATTGTCAATTTAATACTAAAAACTTTTATCTGACCCTGCACTAAATGTTTGTAAACCCTTTTCGGATTAAAAGTTCGGCCGAGTACATCTTATACAAAATCGCATAATATGACAATGGAACAAATTAATCAAAGTATTATTTAGATTGATAACGATAAAGTATTATGCCCACATGGCTAATTTTCACTTACTTTCAAACTTATATAAATAAGCAGTTTCATGTAAAAAATATATAACTATTAATATAAATTAACTGATAATCTGCAGGTTGTATTTATTAATTAGAAATGAGTAAGTAATATTATTAAAAAATTAGTTATAAAAATTATTTTTAAATTTTAAATCTTATATGTTATATAATAAAGATCCTAATGAATTGTAGTATTATTTATAAATAAGCCACTAATTTATTATTATTATAACCCAGGTTGGCTAAAAGGACAGATATTTTCAATTTGTTTGACGATACTATTTATTAGTAGTATTTTAGCGGGAGATTGCCCTGATAATCCAAATGTCCTAGCACCATGCGAGTGCAAAAACTTTAACGAAACCCACAAGATGATTTACTGTCCCGAATATGTCGAGCTTGATGTGGTGGGCGTATTCAAAAATCTTAGCCAGGCACTTGCTGGGAAGAATAAACAGTTTTATCATCTGAGATTTTTCAATAAGCTCACTGAGAAGTTGCCGGCTAACGTGTTCGCCGACATTGAGTTTCAAGACATTTGGATCTCTGACACACGGATTGATAAGATTGACGAAAATGCATTCAACGGCACGAAAAACACATTAACGAAGTTGACTATCGATAGGACACCGATTGTCGACGCGAACGGTACGGATGATAATGATCTGTTCAAAGCTATACGACAATTACCCAGGTTAGTTTTTATAAAATTATAAATTATTTGTTTTTATTATTTAAAAATTATTTAAATACTGAAGGATCAGATGAGTCCAATAAATAGTTCGCTTAGAATTTAAATTAAATTTTAATAATTCTGTATTTTATATTACAGGTTTACATAAATATATATAGGGTATTTAATATTTTTAGAATAATATTTTTTATTATAAATAAGTTAACTTTATATTTATCGTTTCGTACATTTCCTAATTTAATTATATAAGATGAGATACAATTGATTCCAAAAATGACTTTCTAAATTTAATTATCAATACTTAATTATATGTTAATCTCTAAAATATATTACGGTTTTACAAATAATATATTAATAATAATATTTTTATACTATATTTCTAAAATAATTTTTATTTCAAAATATCATTTATTAATTTGGCTATGCCTACAATCACCATTATTAAATACAAACAATTTATTAATAAACTTAACTAGGTTGACCGACTTGGAAGTGACTCATACGCTCCTGACAGAGATACCTGACGGTGCCCTACAATCACACCCGTCACTCATCCGGATAACCCTATCCAACAACTATGATATGAGGAAAATAGGGAAACACGCCTTCAGTGACATTAAAACCCTATTTTACGTAACACTCGAAGAATCGGACATTTCTTTCATATCCGACGAAGCCTTTAGTCAAGAGTCGGCTGAACTTGAGTTTATCATTCGGTTTATGGGCGACGACGAGGCGGCTTACCTTCCGGAGGCTTTCCAGTCAATCAAACGCCCGGTGAACCTACACCTGACCCAACTATTCCCAGGAAAGGGCGGTTCCAATATTCCCCTTGAGTTTCATTATATACCGGAGTCCACGTATCGGCCCTTTTTGGATCAGCACCCAATGCACCGGATTTTTTCAATGTTAGACTCACTTGATTGCGACGATAAACGTAATGATTGGCTTAGAAAAAGGTCCCCGAACCAATGGTTTGATGAGATATGTCATTATAAGTGATGCTGTACATTTTGATTTAAAATTTTAAATAAATATAATTGCAGTAAAAATATTTTGTTTCTTATACTATGAAAATTAAAAGGTAAAATTAAACTTAAATAGATAACCAGTTCGCTTTCTACCCTCCCTCCCATTCTCTCTCTCGCTCTCTCTCTCACTCTCTTTCTTTCTTTCTTTCTGACAGAGTTTTCAAGTCAATCCCCACTAATCATTCAATATATCGCGTATCTTATTTCTTGTGTCAACATCAAAATAATCATCTGCATGAATTAACTAGATTTTAACACATGGGTACAATTTTAGGTTATGATTATATCGTTCATATTATAAAAGGAAATCATAGGAATTTTTATACACTGATATCAAATATAATAGTTGTATTCACTACTATAAAACAAACTGAAAGTGTCTTTTTATATACAACGTTTTTTGCGTATGGCCCACGTGTTTATAAAGGGTTTAATAGTATATGCTATAATAGAGTTGATAGGACCTTCTCTTAGCAAGTTTATAGAGATAAACTGACAAAATGCAGAGATTAAGCCTACACTAGCCCGTGCACACCTCAAAAAGTTACTTTCTTATAAAATACGAAAGATAAGTGGTTCATGTGAAATATAATATTTATAAGTATTGTTAATGATTCCTAATGAGCATTTGTAGCAAAATAATGTCGCAAATGAAATCAACCAAATTTTATTAGTAAAATATTTTTTATTATATATAATTGAAATATTTGAATTTATTTACAGTTTGTATGAAATAATTTTTGGTATAAATTTTATTTTAATTTATTTTAATGTAATAATTATTTATATTTTAAAATATAGTATTCATTTAGTTTAGTTTAAAAATTATAATTTAATATCTATTGTACAATCACCGTAGTTAATTTACAAAATATTAAAATGTTAGCAAATAGTTTTAAAAATAAAACTCTACAAATATTTCAAATGAATATTATATTATAAAATTGATTACGTTAATAAATATTATCAAAATATATTATTTAATAAAAATTTATTCATACAGACAATTTTGAATTATCATGGTCCCAGGTAACAGAAATACCAGCCGGTGCTTTCCAGTCGCACCCAACCCTCGAAAAGCTAAAATTCTACGACAACCTCCAGATGACAAAAGTAGGCCAACAGGCGTTCAGTAATTTAAAAAACTTGTTTTACATATCAATCTAGACGTCCGTAATCAACGCCATTTCCGGCGAGGCTTTCAGTCAAGAGTCGGATGAACGCGAGTTTATCGTCCGACCGATGTCAACGATAAGGCGGTGTTCCCTCCCGAGGCCTTTCAGGCTATCAAACGGCCCGTGAACTTGCATTTGACCAAGGACGATTTGTCGCCATATGACTTTCATTATATACCTGAGTCCACGTATAAGCCGTTCCTCGACCAGCATCCGAAGCATAGGATATTTTCGACGTTAGGTTCGGGCGATTGCAGTGATAAACGCAATGATTGGTTGAGAGATAGGAGTCCTAAACAATGGTTCGATGAGAAATGTAGTTATTAAACATTGTTGTACATTTTGGGATTAAAATTATGTTGCTAAAAAATTTAATTAATTTGTGTTAAATAAGTGAAATCATTTAAAAACCAATAAATTATTACATTAATTTTCAAAATATATTTTATGTGTTTAACACTTAGTTTACAGTTTAATTATATTGTCAATAGAATTTAATTTAATAAACTTAATCAAATTTTTAAAAATTAATTATTTTAAAATTTATAAACATTAATTACATTAATTTTTTAATCAACTGTTATTTATTATTATTTGTAGTACTGTATATCGTGAAATTATTTTAAAATATAATTTTATAATTTAAATTATATAATAATTAAAACTAATTAAATATTATATTACTTTAATTTAATTGAGAATCAATTTCCAATGAAGAAATATATTAAAAATACTGATATAATAAATAGACAGGTATAAATAATATTACAGTTTTAATAGTTAACTATATTATCATTTCAAAATATCAGACATTTATTTAATAATGTAAATAATATTTTGAATTAACAAAAACCATTTAAATGTCCGGTCATTCCTTAATCCAATGTTTCACATTTTAAACATTTTATATTGAATTTTAATATAAAATGAATTTATTAACAGCTTTTCATTATTGAAAACATAAAATTAAATTTAAAAATTTTAATGAATTCTTCATTCAAATGAGACAATTACTGTCTTTCCATTGAAGGGGATAACTAACTCTCAGCCAATCATTGCGTTTGTCGTGACAGTCCTCCCACGCTATGTTCGATATAATCCTATTCTTACGGTTTTGCTTCAGGAATACCTCATAAACCTTGAAATCATTATAAATCTACCTTTCCTCCCCGTGCTTTGAATTATCGAAAAAATTTTTAAATTTTTAACTGATAAAGAATTAAATTCTCTACATTTTCCACGTTATAACCTTGATATACTCCAATCCGTTTAGCTTCTATAATTTGTTAAAATTCAATTTTTATGACATACCAGGCCTTCCAGTGCTAAAACTAATCATGCTAGAGAAATTTCATGAGACATGGGTATCTATTCTTTTTGATGCTCTTTCGAACTGTGTATCATTTGTTGAAATATTCCTGATAGTTTTAAAGTTATAGCATATTTACAAAAACTACCTGTGCGTAGCTACCGGTGCTCAAATCAAGTTGTCACTTCGGGAGCTTATATAATGTTATATTCCATAGTTGGGGTTTAAGCAGATTAATTTTAAATTATATGGTTAATGAATAAATGAATTTTTACTGATCAAGGTCCAGTCCGGAAATTAATTTCTTTACCTGATATATTAATCAAATCAAAATGTTAAAATATTAACTAACCCAAGTACATATACTAGATTTTTGTATGGACTTTTGTTAACAATAACTGCCAATACATATTTAGTACCGAAAACCTTTCTCAGTGTAGTCACCAGGTTCGCGTATCCTGTAGCATTATAATAAGGATACCAATTATTTGCGTCCAGAACCAGACCATCGAGGTTGTTTTGGATCAGGTAGGCAATCACGTTTACGGTAAACTGTAGTGGTTGCTCAATTGCGTACTTTAGGATCTCGGCCATTGGAAAAGTACCGCCGATGGCTATTAGAGACAGATCCCGGCCCCTTTTTCTGCCCCAATTGTAAATTTGGTCTAGCATAATTATTTTGAAAAATAATTTATAATTAGTATATGTCATATTTATATTATATTAATTCAATGTATACTTACGATACTGTGCGATAAGAGCATGGTCCATAGCCATTAATTCAACTTTAGGCGTAACATTCATATAGCCATAAACTCGATGTGTGCATGCTGAGTTGTCTGTAAATTTTAAAACATAAAATTTTCTAAATTACAATGAGCTAGTTTAAAATTTGAAATCAACCCACCAATATCGGTAACATTCATGGTACCTTTACCTACGAGACATACGCAACTGTAATGATACAAAATTTATAATTTTTATAAATGATCAAAATTAACAAATACATACACCAACTCTCGTAGAAACCCATTACTGGCCGTCCATTTAGCTTTCCTTTCACAAGTAGCCGGTGTTTCGTATGACACCCATTGGTCATACTTTGTCGCGTAGTGCCAATTATTATCACAGTCTGTTATCACATTGCATCCAGCAGGTTCATTTTTCAAATATACTGCCATCTTAAAATGTATGTTAAAAATTAATGGGAATTAAAATACAGTCAACAGCTGTTAACACTTATAAGGATCTTTATAATTAATTCAAATACCTTGTTGTATCCAAGTTTACCGTCAACTACGGTGTAGGGTCCCGCAACACCAGGTCCTTTAGCCGGGGCACCTATGCCATTTTGGGTTTCATTCACTAATGTCCATGAGCGTCCAAAGAATGGCAAAGTCATCTAGATCAGTATATTAAATAAAATTTTTCATACGAAATCAGATATGTATTTAATGAAGCATGTATTTAATATTAATGACATAACATACGACTAATTTATCCTTGGGTGCTCCAACCTTGACCCATTCAGACATTGTTTTTGACTATAGAATTAAAATTTATTTAATAAATTAATAAATATTTTAATTTTATCGATTTTCAAAGGAAAACATACGTACTTGATCAATTAATGATGATGCGTGTCCAGTTTGCTTTTCCCATAAACCGTGATAATCGTAAGTATTAACAATAACAAAGTCAACATTGCTATTATAAAAATTATATGATTTAATTATTTTGCTATGCCGTTTAACACACAAGATATCTGAGTAGTATATATCAATAATTAATTATTCTTATATCACAAGGTATATACTGTAGATAAATTTAGGTATTTATAAATAGATTTATATATGAATATTGTAAGCAAGTTTGCATATAAAATAATTGTTTATGCACTAATAGTTTTGTAACTTGCTTAATTCGTTTAGTTTAACTTGCTTATTCAATAAAAAGTCAGTCTTTCACAAAAATATTTTATTAT